TCTCATACACACACACACACACACACACTCTCTCATACACACACACACACATTGGTATTATAATGAGATTTCTGGAGAGACTGGTTGAGAGGAATGCTGTAGCTCTGCAGAAATAACTCTGTTGTAACATGCAGAAATGAACATATACACGTTATATCTCACCATAGCAAGCAGCATATAGAAGCATGTTTTGAAACAAACATTTAATTTGTAGCAGATAAATACAAGAATATCAACGGCTGGATGTTACAGATGTTGCACCAAAATGTGTTACACTCACTGTATCATTGAAACACTGGGCAATAGTTTTTATTAAAATGTTGAATTAGATTTAATTTGTATATTTTCCATTTTAACTCGTTAGTTTTCTATAGTTCTATAATTTCTTATTTCAGTTTTAGTTCAGTATTTTTGTACATCAAGTTGAACTAATTCAAAATGAGAAATGTCAGACATATATTAAAATGAGAAATATTGTCAGCTAAAATGAGAAATAAATACGCTTTTTGTAATATTTTTTTTTTCAGTTAATGTTTATTTCAAGTATTTTTTAGTTTTTGTTTTTGTTTTATTGTAACAACCCTCGGCTGGATTCACGAAAATCTCCTTAATTAAGAAGTAAATTTTAAAGTTAAATTTTACATTTATATTATATTTATACATTCATGCACCAAAAATTATATCAATCATCTTCACATATTTTGTTTATTTTAATCTTTGTTCAGATCATCATGGTTTTCAAAATGCAGTAATAGCCTGTTCTTATGATGGATTTTCATAGTTTAAGATTGAAAGTCTGGAGAAAATGAAAAACAATCAAAAATATACACATAAAAGTGTAAAATAGCAGAAATGAATGTGGGCATAAAGGCATTACATTTCCAAGATAACAAGCTTTAATGTGACCTGAAGACAAAAGCTGAAATCTGTTCAATCAAAATTAAACTCTGGGACACAAAAGTTATTATTCTGTAAATTATAATGTACATTCATGAATTTTAGATAAACACAGTCATGGATAAAATATTATTCAATCTGTGCAAGTCTAACGTGCAACAATTCACAACAAGTCCCCACATGCATTTTCACTCCTCCCCTCGTCCAGTTATCAGTTTTCTGTTTTTCATTCATGTTCATCCCCTCCACCCCCCCATGATGATCCAGAGCCTATAAAAGATCTTCCGTCTGATTTGAGAGACAAGCTGCTGTTGTTATCGCTGAAACGCAGTATTTTCCAAGACTACACAAAAACGGTGCGTATATGTTTTTAAAGCTTTTATAACAGAGCAACTAAAAAGCTTAATGTCATTTTATTTATAGTGACAACAATAATATGAATGAATTCAATTCTAATTAAAACTTGACCAATTACCTGCAAGCTAAAGACTATACTAAAACAGTGGCCTAATAATTGACATTTGGGGTATGACTTGTGTAATTCTTTAAGAGTTTATCAAAAGATTTTCCCTAATAATTTTTGAATGATAGATTTTAACTTCAATGTTAACTCTGTTGTTTTACAGATGAGTGCATCCAAACTTCAGGAAAGGTTTGTAACCCTGCGCAGATTTCTAGAATGATGGAAGCTGTGTACTTTATTATATATAAATACTGCCCTGCATAACCTACATAATGTCTATTACAAACTCGATCATCACTTCAAAATAAACTTTAGTTAGTTGTATTCAAATCTAAAATCAAAAATATATTAAGTAGCACAAGGCCATAACCAGGGGTGAATTTAGTGATTTGGGGGCCCCAGGCAAAATATAGGATTGGGGCCCTATGCATTTGCACACATTTACCTGGATCAACCTTGAGGTTCCTTTTTTGTTGTGATGCTTGCTGTTACTCAGTGGTGCCTCATAGTTGTGTCCAATGTTTCTACATTCTTCATGTGCATGTTATAATGGCTTTCTTTCATGTTGTAATCCACGAAATAGCCATTGATTTACAGTTGAGATACAGGTTTTCACAAAAACAAAATAAATTATAAGAAATTAATCCTCACAATTCTGCGTTTAATCCAGAAAAGGTATGAGTGAGAAGTATAAATTATTATATTAATTTAAAATGGGGTTATGTGGGTGGATTCTCGCGCACATCCTGATTTTGCTGAGTTAGATGTGTTCCTAGGTCAACATATTTTGTTGACCCTGGAACAACATTTTAATCCAAAAATTTAGTCTTGACCATATCCCTACACCTAAACCAGAGGAAATGATAGATGAATGACACTGATGTACAAGCACCAAACACTGATTGTAAGCCTAAACTTTACAAAAACTATAATCTGGTTCTTCAAGTCTGATTGGTTAATCACAGTGTTGTTCCAGGGTCAACAAAGATGTTGATCCAGGAACATGTCATACTTGGTAAAATAAGGTTCTGCGGATTTTCGCATTGGTCTGAACAAAAACTGCAGACTGGATTATTGAAACTGCACATTCATTCTCTGCCAGCAGGAGGCGCTTTTGGAACGTCAGAAATATAGCGGTTTCCCCGGTAACAACTGTAAACAAAGCAGCGCTGCGCTCAAACGCTACTTTATCAGATCAAATGAAAATGCCATCAAATTTTTTTGAAGACAGTCGGTTCCCTTCAGAGATTCATTCATATAAAAACTTGAATTAGTGAGAATGAGAGAAGTGTGATAAATATAGCCATATCGCGAGAAAAGTCCACTGATGAGTTAAGCCTTTGTGCATGGCTGTCTAATTCTAAACTTTAAAATAGCCTACATTTATTTTTAGTTATTTTGACTATGACTAAATTATACATTTACACACCTAAGGATTATATCAACCACAGAAGTAACTGCACATGCATCCTCTACTTGGGTCCTTCTCATAAATGTGCGGCATTTTGTCACGGAATGCCAGGAGAAAACAAGGTAAGTTCCAAGTGCAGTTTATTTGAAAATAACAACAGAACAAAAACGTTGCAAAAGGTAATCCAAAACCTGACCACAGAAAACACAAACTGAGAAGACAATACAATCAAGACGCAAATGACAGACAGAGAAGGCATGATATATATAGCTGGGATAATGAGTGAATGATGAACAGGTGTTACCGATCAGACCAGGATTAGTGAGCAGGGGACTATGGGAAATGGAGTTTAACACAAACAACATAAAACAGAAGAGCGCCCTCAAGTGACCAGTCCAGGTCACCACAACAAAACACTGTGACACATTTAAAACAATAAACATACTGTATAATGCGCACTGTTGCTCAGTATTCAATTACAGCTTCAGATGCATGGTATTTTCATTTGCTACAAGCAGGAAACACAAGAAGCACATTCAACGCGGACACACAGAAGGTTGTCGTCGTAATAAACACCGTAAACGGCTACCGTTCGCGTGTCCGTGCTTAATGCGCATCTCATAGGCCTATATGAAAACTATTTTAGGGGGCCCTTGGCTTTTGGAGACCCAAGGCGGTCACCTACCTTTGCCTAATGGGTAAGTTCGCCTCATAACCTCATAATGAATGAAATAAATAAAGATTTAAATGGATTTATGTTAAAGAAAAAGAACAAGAAACAGGAAAGAACCCTGAAAGTGAAGTTTTTGTAAAATTATCAGTTTGAATTGTTTTTAAAATATGCCTATCAATCTTATCACGTTCTTGTCATATTCAGTTATGAATTACATGAATCACTTAATGTCAGACTATATTTCCAATTAAAACTGTGAAATTTGACACACACACACACACACACTCAAAACGTCAAGTCCCTGTCACTGGATATTAGCCTAATAACGGTTGTTTAACATTTCTGTCGTAAAATTACGGAAACCTGTTTCCGCCACTGAATAAAAAATTTAAAGGTAATTATGAATTTTTATCTCGCAGTCCTGACTTTTTTCTCAGATTTTTTTCTCTAACATGATTTTGGGATTGAGATTGAGATATAAACTCGCAACTGCGAGAAATAAAGTCAGAATAGCGAGTTTATATCTCGCAATTCTGACTTTTTTCTCAAATTCTGACCTTTTTTCTCACAATTGTGAGATATAAAATCGTGTTTGTGAGATATAATGTCCTATTCTGAGGGAATAAAAACTGACTGTTTTCTTACAATTGCGAGATATAAACTCGCAATTGCGAGAAAAAGTAAGATAGTGAGGTAAAATGTCACAATTACATTTTTTTCTTCTTTTTTTTCATTATTAAGGGGGATTTGCCCCCCCATAAGTGATGTTAAATTCAGCACTGGCCTGTTTGTCTGTCTTTATGCAGCGGTGAGGTGAGAATCGCACACTCTCTACATACGAATGAGGAGGAGTTTGTAGCCAGAAGGAGAGAAACTGTTTTTCAAAGCCTGCAGAAACTCAAGATACACTGCAGCAAGGTAAAACATCTTATACTTCATATATCTGCCTGCTATTGTTTCTTTAAATTACCTACAAATGTTTCTGTAGCTGATAAATGCAAAATCAAGCTTGTGTATTTCAGAGTGAAGTGCCAAACATTGCATTACTGGGTTCTGGAGGAGGACAAAGAGCCATGGTGGGTTTGCTGGGATCTCTGGTTCAGCTTGATAAAGCGGGTCTTCTGGACTGCATCCTTTATCTGAGCGGAGTCTCTGGATCCACCTGGTACGAACCCTGACAAACCACAAACACACAGAGATTGAATTGGGTTGAATGTCAAAAATGAGAGCAGTATGTTCTTCTCTGAAGGTGCATGGCCTCTTTATACCAAGAACCAAACTGGTCCACCAAACTAGAGACCGTGAAGGACCAAATCATCAAGCGACTCACCGGCCCCAAAGTCAGCTGGGGAGACGCATTTGCCAAACTGAAGAAATATTACTATGAGAAAGAAATCTTCAGCTTGACTGACGTCTGGGCAGTGATGGCCGTCACAGAATATGTGAAAGAGGTCTGTAACTATACTTACCAAAACCCTGCATGATCTACGGTAGTCACAGTCAGTCTTAAAGTGCTGTATTTTTAATAGATTGTTGATCTAGGAATGCCAAGGAACCTGAGGGACATAAACACATACTGTAATATTCTTCTGATTACAAACTACTACAAATCTGCTGAAACATGCAGTGGGGTCTAAAGTCTGAGATCACATTGAAAATAAGAGATTCTAATTTGAAACTGCAGAAAATAAACAATTTTGGACTTATAAATTATAAATAATTCATTTATGATATTAAATTGAGAATAATTATCTCGCTTGGACACAAAATACAGTGGGGCAAAAAAGTATTTAGTCAGCCCCCAATTGTGCAAGTTCTCCCACTTAAAAAGATGAGAGAGGCCTGTAATTTTCATCATAGGTATACCTCAACTATGAGAGACAAAATGAGAAGAAAAAAAATCCAGAAAATCACATTGTAGGATTTTTAAAGAATTTATTTGCAAATTATGGTGGAAAATAAGTATTTGGTCAATAACAAAATTTCATCTCAATACTTTGTTATATTATAGATTGGGATTTAAATATTTTATTAGCTCATTAAGCGCAAACCTCCTGCAAAGAAAAACAATTCCTCGCAAGTGGTTTGGAAGCAAGAAAAACGAACAATTTCGCATAAGATGAACATTTTAAGGGGTAACAGTCATACCAATTATTACACAGATTTTCACCAATTAATAATGTGGACATGAAATGTTGATTTGAAACTGCTTTAAAATCTTACGTTATAATTAATTCTAGAAACAAGACAAACTCTTCAAGCATATAACTGTATCAGGCAGTGTTGGGGAAAGTTACTAAAAGTAATGCGTTACAATATTGCGTTACTTCCTAAAAAAGTAACTAATTATGTTACTTAGTTACTTTTTATGGAAAGTAATGCGTTATGTTACTTTCGAGTTACTTTTTAAATCTGGGCAGGGCTTGCTTGTTTGTTTTTAATATAAAAAAGTTCTTCTTTTGCAAACATAAAAGCCCTTTCATAAGAAAAGTGAAGTGAATACGCCTCAGGCTGAAGGAAATGTAAATTCACGTCTGCACAATAGATGGCGCAGCGCAAACAAATCGCATGAAGAATATGACGCAGGAGAAGAAAGTTCAACACTATTCAACAATAACTCAAATCAAACACAAATGTGTCATTTTTGATTATTAGTATGGTTGAATTGGATCATCGAAAGGTCAGTAGCAAAGACATTGGTTAATAAAATGGGATTAAATGCATACATTATATTTGTCTTATTTAACATATTTAATTATTGCAGGTTTGTATAATATTTTGAGTTTGCATTTGACTGTTTTTTTCATTTTGTGGAATACTGAATCTGTTTTTGTGCAGGTGAGATGAGTAAAGACATGTTCATATTTAGTCTAGAACTACATCATGTTCACACACAACGCTCTGCACTTACTCCTGATTTCTCTCAGCATGGCAACACCAGAGCTGTCAGTCAATACATGGAAACAAAGTAACTGGAGTTACTTATTTGAAAAATTAACTCAGATATTTCCTTCTAAATGAAAAAGTAATGCGTTACTTTACTAGTTACTTAAAAAAAGTAATCTGATTACGTAACTCGCGTTACTTGTAGTGCATTACTATGGGATTACATTTGTGTCAATTAAAATGAATGTAATTTTTCAAGAAACTTAAGAAAATATAAATTGAAACTGAATAAAATGTCTTTGAAACTGAAAAAAAATGTAATGCAGGCAAAATCTTTGACTTCGTTTTTAATACACTGCATGTTTGTACTTACAAATGCGCTTCCGGAGTTTTCGTTTACGCTTCTGAAGTTTTCGTTCGCCATTCTGACACAAATCTCTCGTGGTGGCGGGGCTAGCAGCAGAGTGTTCACATTGGCTACTGAGTTTTTGATTTACAGCTTCTTGACCTGGAAGTGAAGGCGTCAATGTTGCCTTGCCAGTGTGGATGTGAGCGTATCTTAGCAGCTTCCAATTTCATTTTAATGATATAAAGTTAGGAGTTTTGTTTTTGAATTCAATCTGTATTTATCTGTTGCTACTACTCTGTCCACATAAGCTTTTAGGAGTGCGAGGAATCAAACGCGAGAGAAAAAGAAGGTCATATTGAGGTTTAATTATTAAAGTACTGTATATAATACTGGAAATATTGTATAATGTCCAATGTTCTTGTAGGATATTTGTTTATTGCTCATGATTCTTTTGCATTGTAGGGTCTAATTAGGTTGTACCGTTACGTTTGAAATACTATCATATACAGTATGTGTGATATATTTCATACGTCAAAAAAGTCTCTCTTCAAGCTCATTTTATTACATATTCCACACAAAGAATGTTCTTGCAGCCAATTGTATTTATCATGCTGATAATTTTGTTTAGTTAACATTATCTAACGTTTAAAGTT